ACAACCGAACTTGGGGACTATTCCCCTCCTACTACCATTATTACATATAACATATCATGCAAGCATATAAACATATCATCTCATACTGTCAGACATATCTGGGGTGTCTGGGCTACCCTTCGGTCCTAACAACCAAACTCTACTACTATCACATATAACATATCATGCCAGCATATAACATATCAGGTAGTAGCAAACCTAGATGATATCACAAAGACAATCATCTAACATACAACTCCTACTGGTGGGCCGACATTGTGGCCGTAGACCCACCGCTACTGGAAGGTAACTCACCTCACACCGCTGAAGTCCCATAGACATAATCCCACATTGATGAAGTCTCGTAGACACAACCCCAACTGCTGGATGATAGATTCCCGAAATGTTAACACCAAAATAACACCTAATTAATAATTGGGTTCCACTACATAACCATAAGTACATACTTTGGATAATTACTACATTACCCCATGCTAGACTTTATTCAAGCCCAAGGCCCAATCCAAGGCCCAAAAGTCCACTATGGCTCAAAGCCCAACATATGGCCCAATTTTCCAAATTGGGCCCAAACCCTTACAAGGTCTTACCATAAGGCCCAACCATTTAGTCCAGTCCAACATTCAACATTCTAATGGCCCAATATCACATAGTCATAAAGGCCCAAACTATGGTCCATCTATGGCCCAATTTTCCAAATTGGGCCCAACTCCTCATATGGGCCTTACCTCAAAGCCCATTAATTATTCTAGTCCATTTGCTTGATCTTGGATGGCCCACTAATAACTCAATCATCAAGGCCTAATAGAAAGGCCCGACAATAAACCCAAGTTAAATTAGGGTTTCACATAAAATGAAGATTAGGGTTAAGTTTCCTACTTAACCCATTAAGGACTTAATCCTCTAAGGACTTAATCCATTAAGCCCAATATCGTTTAGATTAATCTTTACCAATGATTATTATTTAATATCTCAAGTTATTAAATAACTCTCGTGTGTGTTTCCCAATTAATTCTTAAAATTAGGGTTTTTCAATCCAAATATTAGCCCATTTATCAATTTGTTGGCCTTATATGTCAATTAGGGCTTTATTGGGCTTATTAGGCCTACTGGAATATCATTAAGCCCATTAGGCTAACAAGGCCCATTAGGGTTTTAAGCATCCCCAATCGATTCAACTCACAAGACAAGCACACCGCCACCCAACACGGCGGCCGGTGGCGGCAGGAGGCGGAAGCCACCACCCTAAGGTGGTGGTTTTTAGTTTCTTTCCATTATTAAATTTGTAATTTACACTTTACAACATTGGAACTCAAAATAAGCACATACACTAAACAACATAAACACACACATACAACCACCCTATGGTGCCCGGTGGTGGTAGAAGGTGGCAGACACCACCCTATGGTGGTGGTGATGCCTTTTCCAGCAATCCAGTCAACACCCACATGCATAAACATGCCTTCAGCTTGGAGAGGGAAGCCAACCACCCATTTGATGGTGTATGGCAGCGGCAGTGGTGATTTCACGTCGGCAGCCACCACCTCGTGGTGGTGGCAGTGGTTCCTTTGGGTTCCCTATCGAATAGCTCCCCCACACCCGAATATTGAAGAAGAATCACATCCACATGAACTCACGAAAAACTGTAGCAACGATTCACGGTGGTGGCTCGACTGGTCTCGGTGGTTTTGGCTAGAGCGAGTCGTCGGCGAGACATCGACCAAGAGCAACAGTGGCGCAACTGTAGAATGAAATAGAGACGGAGGAGATTGGCGACCCTAATAGTGAACCACAGCAACACGATCCTTGATCTCCCGACCAACCCGCATCGACTCGTGGCTCCTTGGTCTTCAACGGCGGTGGTGGTGATCGAACTCTAACTCACTGCGGCAGTAGCTTCGGTCCGCGAAGTGGCGAGTGGGCAAAGCCTCAACTGACAGCGAATGAAGAAGGAGAATGAGGGAAAAAGGACGGTTGTCTGGTGGTCGTTAGCTGATTGGGAGCGTGGTGGTGGCGGCTCCGGTGAGGGGGGCATAAGGGGGATCACGACCGCTACATAAGGGAGGGTTTTGGGTTAGGGTTTGATTGATAATGAGGCTATATACCCGGCTCCACTTTGGAGTTTTCCATAATGGCAATAATAGTCCCTCCATGCCCTTTTTCTTACAAATGCAATCCAATATTTACCCTTTCTACCCTGGCTTTGGAAATCTTCTTCATATTAAATCCGATAATTACCATTTGAACCCTCAACACCAAAATCCTTTACACCTTAGGTACAAAATTTACCAAACAACCCCCAATATCTTAATTATGACATAATCAACCCCTCCACCTCATTTCCTTTTAAATTAAATCCAAATAGTTACCACGGAGCCCTTGTCTTCATAAATATTTACAAACTGAGTCCGGAACTTGCACTTTTAACCCCTGACCTCAAAAACTGTGACAATTAGCCCTTCGAGACCATCTGCTGATATATAATTATTTATTTTAGGGCTACCATTTGTTCATTAATTTATTAATTTATTTAATAAATAAACGGGTGTTACATAAGAGCAAGGGCAAGGTGTGATGGCGCGACATGCACTCTATCTCTCTCTTTCACTATTAGGTTTTGGGAACACTCTGATGATTTGAATAAGTTGTAATGAATCGTTGGTTGAAAACAATTATGTTGGGATTTCATGGTTTATGCAATTATGTTTTATTAATTAAAAGTGAAAATTTTCTTTAAAAATGTGGGTCGTTACAACTAGCATAGCATCATCCTATATACCAGGATACCAACCTAAACCAGGTCACTAAACATAATACTATCCTAACTACCAGGATGCAGATCTAACATATCAGTAAGCATAATATCATCCTAACTTCTAGGATGCAGATCTAAGAGATCAATAAGCATATCAAGCAAGTACCAGTATACAATCCGAAAAAGGGCCGGCGATGGTGCCTTAGACCCTGCTGATATAGTGAGAATAACTCACCTCGCACTGCTGATCTAAACTGAAGAGTCGAACTCCCGAATCTCTGCCTCACCAAAAATCCCGAACAACAGATCTCTCGACTCCTAAAGCTATCAATACCAAAATATCACTTAGTTCAAAACAATAATTCTCCTTAAGGTAAAATAACCATTTTACCCCTAGTCCAACCTGGTCCATATCTAAGGCTCAAAATCATAATATAAAAAGCCCAACACCGGATGGGCTTCCCAAACCCACTAGTGGCCCACTAATGGCCTAATTTGCTAAATTGGGCCCAATCCCTCTTATGGGCCTTACCCTAAGCCCAAACATCTTCTTAGCCCACATTATCTGGCTCTTGATGGCCCACTAAGGCCCAAAGGACCAAAATCCCTCTGCATGACCCAAACTGAGGCCCAAAATCCATAAGGCCCATAATTGATAAGTATGTTGGGCGTACTCCTATGTACGTTAAGCGTATTAACCAAATGGTGCGTATGTTGGGCGTACCTACTTGTACGCTCAGCGTACTCCCTTGTTAAGTTATTTTCCCATTAAGTGCTTAATACTCAGATTCAGGAGCTACAATCACAGATCCAAGTCCTTTCCAACGTCTTAATCCATAAAGTGACTGACTTGGTGACTTTGCATGCCCCCAAACAAGTCCCAACTCCAAAAATGATGTTCTACTTCCATGAAAGTGGTCTTAACTCTAGCATGAACCTATTAAGACCACCAAGATGACAACTTTCTGACCTGGGGAGTCATTTAGCACTAAGGGTGGCAACCCTTAGCCTAGAAGCTGGATTTGGACTAAAAAGCTTCAACCTTTGGACCAAAATGACTTCAAAACTAAACCACACTAGATCGAAGCACTCTTAGATAAAGTTTATAGCTTTATACCTCCAAGTGATCTGGAATGGAACCCCAAACTCAGATCTACTGCTTTCCCTTTGATCAACCACCTTGATATACTCTTCACTTGCTTGGAAATGGCTTTACAATCACATAAATGCTCTTTAATGACCACCAAAGCTCCAAGAACACTCAAGGGAGGGTTAGGGTTTCGTGGTGGCTATATGAAGATGAAAGGGAGGCTGATAATTAGGGTGTTATGTTCTTTATATAGCGACATGCTCTAAAATTAGGGTTTGGGGTCTTTAAGAGTACGTTGGGCGTACCTCTCGTATGTTAGGTGTATTCCTCCCCATACTCACGATCATTTACTCCACTACATTGGGAGTACACCAGCTTACATTGGGTGTACCCAGCCGGACACGTCCATGCTTCCCTTGTATGCATGGGACTTGCTTGGCAAACATTTCCATTAGGGACCATTTATGCCAAATGCTTTAAAGTGCTATAACTTCTTCATTCTAAGTCCATTTCCAACGAACTTTATATCCAAGAAAAGGTGGCGAGAAGCCCTACGCTCCTGACCACACACCTAAGCCTTAAAACTTCCGAATAAATCCGGAGACCATAAAAGACCGAATTGATCAGACGTTGGGCCTCCGAGACCGCCACATAGTGCTTTTCAAAATGGGGTGTTACATAGAGGTGTTATAGATGATCTTATTTCCAACACTAAAATATCTAAAATCCCTATAATTTGTATATGCAATGATCGATACAGTAAAAAACTTCTTTCTTTTCGATAACTAACAAAACAACAAATGGCGAAAAAACTGTTACATATTCCAAATGCAGAAAAATTCAAATAAATGAGGTTGCCTTAAAGAACTTGTTGAAAGATTTAATGGATATATGGGTACGGCCAAATAATAAAATAAAATTCCTAAAATCATGTGTATAATAAGACCACTAAATGAAAACCAAACATTATTATAGGATTTATAGACTGTAAATTACATTCTTTATGTTAGCAATCAATTTCTTTTTCTCTCTTCTTCCACGTTTCATTCTTCAACCAACAACTAATTTTTCTATAACCAAATATTAAAACCAATCAAATTTAAACAAGCATAAATAAATACAAATGAAATAAATAGGAAATGAGTTAACATAGTGCAAAGGGATTCATCAAAGTTTAATATTTCCTACCCTTAGGTTTCAAGTTTAGAGACTTGTAAATTATTATAAGGATTGTTAAGAAAATAGATGATATCACACTTCAAATATAATAACATTGCGTTACCTGTACATTCCTACAAACTCCATTGTCTGAAAATTATAAACATAAAACCGATTAAACATGTAAAATAATTTTTTTTATAGGATAATATTATGTTTAATACTCGTCATCATTCTCGATGCATGAGTTAAAACAAAGAGAACGATTGGTTTACATTGCCATAAAACCCTTGGTTCAAAATCACAGAATGTGTATGGTTTAAAATTCTGTCATTTACGTGTTGTTTTGGATTTAATCTCGTGAATTATGGTCAAGTAACCTTTCTTTTTTGCTTTTCTTGTTCAAGATCAAAGAACCATAGTGTAAGATGCATCAAATCAACTTTTGAATCTAAGTTGTCAATGAAGGAAATTCCTCATGTTACCCAAGCAATCAGAACCATGAAAAAAGGAGTTGGATTGTTTGCATATGAAGTTAAACCCTAAACCCCTCGCCGAAAAATAAATAATCAAAAGAACATATCAACTTCCAACATTTCGATATAAACTAACTTATCTTACAAATTCCAAACCCAAGTTAGGTCAATATAAATCAACGTTGAGTGAATAAAACATATCAAAGAAGCATACCTTTAGAAATTGACCAAAAGAAAGCAAGTAGATAGCATTGTTTCGATTTTTGCAACAACAAAAAACCAAGCACGCATATGTTGGGATATGGGGTGAAACAATGGTTTGATGTTGAGATATAGGGTGATACACGGAGAAGAATGTACTTGCTATGGGAGACAATTAAATGACACCTTATTAACCTATTGATCAAAATGATGATGGAAATCGTGTCCCTCATTGTTTTGTTCAGCAACGATCCATGTTTCAAATGCAAAAAAAAAAAAAAAAAAAAAAAAAAAAAAAAAAAAAAAAAAAAAAAAAAAAAAAAAAAAAAAAAAAACAAAACAAAAAAAAAACAAAAAACAAAAAACAAAAAAAAAAGGTGAGACTTATCAACGTCACCTAAAATGTGACCTTAGAGCAAATGAAATTGAAAAGTACAAAATTGAAAACACACATTAAACCACGATCAAAATATACTAACAGGTTATAAAATTGTTAAATTAGTTAAATGAGAAACTTGAATCTTCATAATATTTAAGATATTTCAAATGGATTTCTAAACAAATAACCTATCATCTCTATAGTAAGGTAGTTCTCCTTCAAATCTCGTATTATATTTCAACACTCATATTGAGTCCTAAAATCTTAGACATATATTGTAGAACCAAATTGAAGATTAGGGTTCATAAAATAGGTTCTTACCTCCGTATTACAGCTGATGGGGGACACATAATGTCCGGATTGAGTCGCCGTGAGAGAAAAGATGAAGACGATGGACAGGATATCTGGGAAAGGAAGTGTCAACAATCAGATGGTGACCAGATGCATACTAAGAATCTAAGATGAGAGACACATGAGTGAATCTTCAATGAAATGAGAGAGATGAAGGTGAAAGAGATGCTTAGCTTTGTTGGAGATGAATGTGCGTTTGAGGTATATATGAAGTAGACAAAAGGCAGATTCCTGATTTCTTGCTATTAGTGTGTTGATTTATCGATGATTGTTGATTTCTTGTTATAAGCATTTGAAATTTCAATTGCAGGAAATTAGGAACAAAATCAAGATAAGATTTTTGAAATTTCGGATTTCATGTACCGAGTTAGCAATCGAAGTATAAAATGCACTGAATGAAAGGGACAATTCAGGAATTTCAGTTAGAAACCTTGAGCGGGAAAAGAAGCTTTAGGTGGGCTGAACAATTGCCATGTGGCAAAAATGGTTTTATTTATTAGATTAGGGGAAGGGGATTAGGTAGAAATTAATAAAACCAAGCCATATGAAAAAAAAAAAATTGAAAATAATTACAAAATATAATTGTAACTAAATCAATATGTAACTAAATCAATAAAAGTATGATACGTGGAAGAAAAAATTATTTATTTGAAAATTTAGAGTTTACAATTTCAATTTTTGATGAGCTTTTTCGGTTGTTATGTGTATATTAATTAACATGTTTATGTTATGTGACACTTGTTTTATTGAAAATACTATCTTATATATATGTTCTTACGCTATTACAACTTTCAATCAAACCCATCAAAATACGCAGGAAACCTTGAACTAAATTCTTCCACAAATCTTTCGCTTAATTTCTCACTCCACTTCTTCAAATGCCGTCGTCGGAAACGTACGAGACAGCCCCGCCGGAGTTCCAAACGTTATCTTCCCGGATTCATCCGCAGAGATATCCGAAATCGTCACCCAAATCAAAAGCTCCTTGCTCTTAACACCTGTTAGATTCCGCATCCGCCGATTCTCAATCAACGCCGTTACTTCGCTATCGTACGACACATTCCGACCAATCGCACGGAAGAGATGATTCGTCTTCTTCTTCCGGCAAACCCACACGAACCCTGTGGATTCGTTGTGGCCGATCTCCGTCACGTCAGTCATCGGAATCAGGCCTTTTGGTAGGGAGAATCTGGCGAGGACTTCTTGCGCTTTCTCTTTGCATAGATCTTCGCCGGTAAATACTTGGGCATCTTCACGCTGAGATCGGATCTGTTGTGACGCCATTTTGGGGGTTTTGAGAGGGAGAATTTGAGGGTTTGTTGGAGCGATGAACGGGTGTGGTAAAGTTGTGGGGTTTTGGGTGACTATAAATTGGGTGGCAAAAGGGTTTACGTGTTGAAATACTGTATTTTATATTGCGTTACAAAGTTTTTTTTTTTTTTTTTTTTTTAATTACTAAAATTATATTTTGTTAAAAGTTTTTTTTTTTTTTTTTATAAAAATGATTTACTTTTTGATAAAATTCTTGAAGTGACAAAAGCATTTTAAGATTCATTTCATGTTGTATACGTCCAAGCAAGGATGGACCGATTCGAGGACAAGTGCCCATGAAGTCAACAAGTAGCCTTCTTTCAATGTTAAATCTTGTCCCCACAACATCTTTAAAAGATAAACAATCTTGAGTAAGCAAGCATATTTCAAAAGAAAAAAATGAAATGTGCTTGTTCCTCAACGATTTACATGTTGTTCGTGTCATTCCCAAACATTTTTCTCGTTATTCCCGAGCTAGTTTTGTACCTTTCCTATGAAGTTTCGCCCTTTGTCCTATGATTTCCACCAATACAAAGAGATCCTTTATCTCTCAAATGCGAGTATTGGCAGATTGAAGTTGCATGAGTATGTAACATGGTTGTTCTTTGGGTAGTATACTTACAAAAATCGTTAGGTTCAAGTCTTCACAGCCATATTTTAGAAGTTTTAGTTTTAATATAATGTATATCAAGATCTTTATCGGCAATGAGATCATATGTCAGCTACCTAACATGTCATTCTTACCTTGTTGACCCCTCAATTGATGTTTTCTAGAAGCTGGAAGGCTGGAGGCCAATTCATGATGGCAACAAGAATAAATTAACCGTACTTATAAAAGCGGGTTTTTTGATTCGCATAATGATTTTAAAAATAATGGAACAGGAAAATGTTACGTTTTTGGTTGATATAGAATGTAATGTGTTATCTATTTGGAAAGTAACTATACATTACAACGAAAATACTCTTCTGTATTTTTTGTAACTTATTATTATTTTAAAAAATATGATAGAACTTTCATTAGTTAAACTCTTAGCCACTTAAACTTATGGCGGCATGTCAACGTGGGGCGTAAGCAAGTATGTGTACATGTGGGTATGGTTGCACTAGCAGGGGTGGGTAGGTGGGTATGGGTATGTATGTAGGGTGTAGGGTGGATGGGTGGGTGTAGCGGGGATATCTAGGTGTTAGGTTGGGGTGAGGGGCATAGGTGGGTGTGTGTAGGGGTAGGGTGTATGTTTAGGGTTGTAGGTAGGATGGGGTAGGCATGTAGAGGTAGAGGTGTGGTGAGTTAGATAGATTTATTTTTGGGTGAGTAGGTAGGACGGGGTGGGTGCGTTGGATTAGGTGTCTAAGTCAATAACTAGATTAGTATAATCTTGAATTATTAGCAAAGTCCTTTTAGATCCCCCTTAAACCCAGTAATTGAAAATGATGATTTTTAGAGAGAGAGAGTGATTTATTAATTTATTATGTGATTAATAAATTAACTAGAAATTAAAATAAATAATTTATTAATGTATTATGAGAATAATATATTAATTAGAAATTGTATTGTTTAATTGGAATAATTAAAAGTGAAAGGACTAAAGATGACAATGTTCTAAAGATTGAAGATTGACCAATTTTAGAACCTCCCTAGTAGGGGGAACATATTCTAAAGGTATTCTAGGGTTTCCTTGGGCATTAAGGGTGCCTTGGATGCCTTATGGAGGAAGTTAAAGGATTAGGGTTTATCTTAGGAAACTGTCTTATCCTTAGCTCCTTTGATCACCTATAAAAACCCTTCATTAGGGATATCAACGGGGGCAAACGGGACAGGGATTGCATCCCCCGCCCCCACCTGTGACATCCCCAAAATCTCGGCCAGAAAAGACCGATTTCATTTATGCTTTTTAAAATAATTTTCAGAGTAAATCCTTTTAATTTTAAAAGAGATGCGGAACTTGTTCCCAAAAACAAAACATGATAAAATAGATATTTATCAAAACATTTCTTAAAGAAATATGATTTCATTTCATAATCAAAAGTCGGGATGTCATGTTCCGATACAGATCATAAAGCGTAAACGATAGCATTACAAGTCATTCAACAAATATATACATATACAGACTTGTAAACAAAACAACTTGATGTTCGCCCATCTTAAGCTCTTGCGCCACTTCCTGTAAAATAAATCAACTGAGTGGGTCAGGCTTGGGAGCCTGGTGAGCATATAGGGTTTTCAACCCACAATAATTATATTTAATTTCAACAATCAACAATAAACCCAATTATCCATTCCCGTTATCCTCACCTTACGTTCCTAAAAATAACGTCTATTATAAGGAACTTATTTCAGGATTTTTCATCGGGACGGACATTACTGCAGAGGGGCTTCCTCAACAATAAGTGTCCTAAAGGCAACCATGTGGGGGATAGAGTACACCGGTGAACACGTCGTTCACAACACCTACAGGTAATGAGCCTGCTAGTGTTCCACAGGACAGTCTAGAATAGTCCGTGGTCGTCATTCATACTCTGCTGAATGACTAGAATAACACCAATAACACCGATGCCTCTCATCTGTTTATTACACACCAATTATCTACCCATGTTCTACCCAACATATTAGTAGATAAAAATATATACATTTTTATACATAGTTTAAAAACCTGTATAACATGTTTTAATCAACACATATTCCACATAACAGATGAGACATACACACATAACACGTATTTCATAGAGAATACATCAGATCTATAAGATAGAAGAGAGTGAATATACACTCACACGTATAACAACCAAATATATACACATAACACGTATTTTATAGGAAATACTTCATAATATTGCGTTGGAATGAAAATAACTACACACTCACTTGATCAGAAGATGATCGGGCAGCACTACGGCTTGCAGAAGTAGTAATCCTCCGCAGATCTGGAAGATCTCTACGAAAATTGAACTTCTCGCGGGCAAAGCTTCGGCTCGGAAACCGCACTTCTCGGGATCTTCGGGATCTCGGGACTCGCTTCGGGACTCGGGAATATTACCGGGGCTTCGGATGGCTTCGGGGTAAAAACGCAGAGCTTCGGCGCAAAAACGAGAGAGAATTAGCAAATTGGCCGGCTGCCCTCGCATGCCTTTTATAGGAGGCTGGAAGCCTCTCGTACGCGGGGCGTACGCCAGTACGCGGGGCGTACTGCCTCAGAAACGTAAGCGCTTGCGTCATCCGAAGCCACTTGCTGCGATGTCGACACTTTCGGAGTACGCGGGGCGTACTCACTTACGCGGCGCGTAAGTCGGATAAGATCTGTGACTCGCCTTCGGATAATGCTTCCGAATTTGAATTAAAAATAATTATAAATTAATTAATAAACTTCGGAAATTCATATCTTCTTCATACGAACTCCGTTTTCGATGTTCTTTATATCCACGGAAATGTGAGACTACACTCTACAACTTTCATCTAGACTCCGTCGGCTAATTTTCACTTTTATTTTTATTATTTATTTTTAGAAGGCTCGGACAGGAAAACTTCGTTATTAAATCATAACTTCTTCGTCCGACGTCCGTTCTCGCCTACCTTTTCATTGCTTCGCTACTAACAACAAGATCTTCGATTCTCATTTAGATTGTTTCGGCTAAAAACCGCTTGATCTCAAATCGAGTATTCGGGCTGTATACTGCTAAGTCGAAACTTAGAAAAATCATAACTTCCTCATACGAAGTCAGATTTGGGCGTTCCTTTTATGCACGCTCTCGGTTTAACGAAATCTACGACTTTCGTTTAGATCGCTAAGGCTAAATATCGCTCTATCTTAAATTCATATTTTACGTCATTCGGCGTCGTGTCGGTTCTGTCGCGAAACTTCAACAGGTCATAACTTCTTCGTTATAACTCGGATTTTGGCATTCCTTATATCTCCGGAATCCTTGTTTCGACCACTACAACTTTATGCAAAGATGTCGGGCGTATCTCACACTTTAATTTTGACGCTTATTTCATTCTTAATTCATTAAATTATAAAAATCAAGAAAATAAACACATAAATCACATAATTCACAAATAATAAATTTTTGTTATTTCAAATTTAGTTACAAAGGTTAACCTAGACTATTACATTGCTAAAAATGGCAAGCCCAGAAACACAGGCGTTACAATTCTCTCCACCTTAGAATGATTCCGTCCCCGGAATCACACATCAACAAACAAATGCGGATAGCGACTCCTCATGTCACTCTCCGTCTCCCAGGTGAGATTCGGCCCATTCGTGTGTTTCCATCGGACAAGCACTAACTCGACCATCTTGTTTCGCAACTTCTTAGTCTTTCGGTCAACAATTGCCTCTGGTTCTTCAATCAACCTTTTGTTCTCATCGATTCTCAATTCAGAAATTGGAATTATATCGGGAACTTCTCCCGCGAACTTTCTCAAATAACACACATGAAATGTGTTGTGAATTCCATTCAGTTCTTCGGGTAATTCGAGCTTGTAAGCTTGGTTCCCAATCCTCTGAAGAACTTTAAACGGTCCAATAAACCTTGGACTCAACTTTCCCCTTTTACCAAATCTTATAAGTCCCTTCCACGGCGAGACTTTAAGCAAAACCGAATCCCCAACTTCAAAAGTCATCGGTCTTCGCTTTTTGTCAGCATAACTCTTTTGATGATCTTGAGCTGCTAACATTCTTTCCCTAATTATTTTCAACTTTTCAGCAGTCTGATGAACCATCTCCGGTCCCATAAACTGCTTTTCCCCAGCCTCAAGCCAACAAGACGGCGTACGACACTTCTGTCCATACAAAGCTTGATAAGGTTCCATCTTTATGCTCGAGTGAAAACTATTATTATAGGAAAATTCTACCAAAGGTAAATGTTCATCCCAATTACCTAGGAATTCCAAGGTACACGCTCTCAACATATCTTCAAGTGTTTGTATCGTCCGTTCGCTCTGACCATCAGTCTGCAGATGGTAAGCTGTACTTAAA